AGGAATCGGCAAAGACACTCGGCCTGGTAAATTGGGTGGCAGTGGTGTGTGGGCGGGTGTGTCTTTGTGTGTGTGTGTGCGGGGCCATTGTTTGTGACGTTATTCTCATATTATGAGCAAAAGTTTCCGGAACCTGATATCTGGCGTGGCTGCGGCGCCATGTCGTCAGACAGCAGGAGGGCCAACCCCATCCCAATCTTAATCCAAGCTTCTAAACATCCCCGCACATGAACTGAGGACATCAAGTCCTTGCCTCAAGCGACTGGTTGCAACGTGGAAGACTGTAAACCATGTTGCAGGGGTGTGGAGGAAGTGCAAGCGCAGTTACTGGGAACTGGTGACTTCACTGCTTTCAAGTCAGCGCCTTTTCGAATTTACATCCTGGGTGGATCTCAGTTGCTGCAGTTTCTCACGCGTGCCTTGCAGCAGGCACCGTGGAGCGCTGTTCTAACATTTTGTGTTTAGTTGTAACTGAGTCGGTGATATCATTGCAAATCATCATACTTCACGCTACTTCATACTCCTGACCTTCAGACCGTCCTGGCAGTAGCCTTAATGACTTCGTCTATTGATATGTCCTCAGGCACGTTCTTCAAACGCTGCAGGTCTGCGACATGGACTTTGCCAAAGTGGCCGCAGGCTGTGCAGAAGCTATCGTGAAGAGTTTGCGGTTGGAACGTCCTGGTCACAAGGTGCTTCTCCTCGAGGGCCTCGAAGTTGCTGCCAAGCAGGACTGCCTACCCAGGAAAAGTGGATAACCTGCCGAGCCTTTTTTGGCCACGAATATCCGGGTGGCAGAACGTTGAGCTTTATTTCCAAGGTTTCTGAGGGCTTCCGGTTTCCTTCACCAGTTCTCGAGCATCCATATTTGGAAGCAACGCAGAACTAGAAGTATCCATGACTCGTTTAGCTGCTTGGGCCTCATGACGCATTACTCCTGTATAGAGAGCCAGCCCATGTTGGTCAATTTGGGACTCTCCCTTGCAGGTGTGTGGCAAGGGGCAGAACGAGCCATGTTTCCAAGTGGCCAAAGAAGCCGCGAAATTGTGGCCAGCCGTCGTGGCCATCCTTGCTATGAGGTGCCAAGAGTCCGGGAGGGTGCGCCGAGTCTGTAGGGTCAACAAGGTGTTTTCTTTCAGCATTAATACAGTATCAACTGACAACTCGGGGACAGGCGCTCGGAAGATCATTCCTAGGACAGTGAGCGAAATAGCTGCACTGTGAAGATTTCACCAAAACCAGCCCTGCCCTGCACCGGAGGTATCAGATCCACGCGCTACAATGGCGGAATCGGTCAAAGCTCAAGGAGTTCCTCATCGCCTTGTTCAAGGAGTTTGCTGAGACACAACTCCTGGACCAGTGATGGCCAAATGCCATGCTTGGCCACGCTGCTGCGGCCCCACGGTCTCCAGAGAGCACGCCCGATCCAAGACTTTGTTACTTGTGCGAGCCACACACTTAGCCCACGTCAGGCTTCTCGAATGTGAGAGCAGACTGTATTTTGAGCAGGCCTTTGGCCTTTGGCCTTGGGAGCTTTCGTGCAAGATGATAGTTCTCCAAAGTCAGGGGAAATTGGCCTGCTTGCAAATGGAGACAAGAAAAGAGAAACTGAGCCACAGTCGGGAGCTCACCTGTCTTCAGGATGATGTCACGGTCAACCGTTCAACCCAACATGCCCGGTGTGTTTTTTCTGCTGACCCTGCCCATGGGCTGGAGACAGGCTAAGCTTGGTTTCAGGTATGTTTGCGTGAACACACCTGGTCCGGTGGGCCCCGTGGTTTCGGAACACACCCATGCAAGGCAGGTCAGGTTGTTTTTTTTTTTTCCATTGGTCTCCTCTTTCTTGGGCGACCGCGGCCGGGTGATACGGTACACATGGATATTCATAGATTTCACAGTATGGATCTTATCAGTCCAAAAATCTGAAACGGTGTGTTATATAATTTTGGCATCCTTTTGCCAATTTTTTTTTGCAAATCCACGTGGACTTGCCTGGCAGTTGTTCAACTCCTCCTACCAGCGGAGTGAAGGTGTGGCGTCCCGCCAGGTCCAGCGAATCCGTGAGCAGCGGACCGCGGCCGACCGCGCTTGCCCGGTGCAAGGCCCGTGATCCACTTGGTCTCAGCCCGGTGTGTTCCACCGAAACCACTTCTTCAGGCAAACCTATGTGATATCCATGGTTCTTTATATAGATGGATGTTGATGACCATAATGACATAGAAAACCATGCACGACGCCGATGAACTGAACTCCATAAGCAAGTATGTGTATGCAATATGCACATGTTTTATCAATCCGCTGTTCGAAACTATATTGATATTGGGTTACCGACAACTGTTGATTCTTTTGAGCGGTGAAACACCGAGGCCGGGATCCGAATTCGTGTTCTGAAGGTGGCCCAGTCTTCGGCACAAAATTCGACAAGTTACCACCTCTCAATTGTTTTTTGTGTGTTTTGCTGTGGGGTTTCATATTTCAATGGATTAGTTGAAGGGAATGTCTACAAGTCTACACAAATCATATCTTCACTCTCTAAATGATGGGTTTCCCGTAGATTTTCTGGAGGTTGGGCCTGACCCTCTTTGGGTGATCCACAGGGTCTACTCATCCCAGGCAGCAGGGTCTGGCCAGGTATGTGGACCTTTTGGTTTCACCAGAGCGGCACGACCGAATGAATCAATCCACCATGTTCTAAGTGATTTGCAGCATAACCTCATAGATTTGTTGGGCGTTTTTGCTTCTTTCGGTTTCAAGAGAATTTAGACGCATTCTTGTACAAGAACTGGTTTCTTCTCTTGAGGTCGCGCCAGTCGTTTACGGTTGCATGAACTTGCTCTGTCAAGAGCCAGCCACAGCACAACTCGCAGCCAGATCGTGCCCCTCTTGAATGCTGATCTATTTGGAATGGTGCAGAATCCATTGGTTGGGGTAGCATCCTTGAATTGAATCTTTTGCTCAATGCTCATTGACAAGTGATGAACTGATTGACTACGCAGCTCCCCAACCTGGGGCTGACTTCCCTGTTGGTTCTATGATGAAGCATTAAAAACCCTTTCATTGTGTTGATGTTTCTCTCAAGCCAACACCAAACCAAGGGAAATCTTTGGTTGCAGCACGCTTTTTTCAGGCCCATTCATAGGCTTGGACCAGACGAACGACTTGACCAGACCAGCATGTTTGAATTGCAAAATCTCTATCGATGGAACCATAGACAAAGCATGGTATGGCACGCCGACCCATTTTTTTGGGGGAAAAGGTCAAATCCATCAGATTTTAAGGAAAGGTCGAGTCATTTGGAAGTTCGCTGAGTTTTGGGTTTTGGAGTCTATGTGGGTGTGGGTCAAGAACTGGGAATGCTAATGGTTTTCCTCAAACATGAACAGATGTGAGCCGACCAGTCTTGGTCGATGGGTAACACGGGTCAGGAATGAACATGGTTTGGTTCCTGTTTGTTGAGGGTATTGTCATTCGGACATCATTATGATTGTTCAATATTGTTCATTTTTTAAATTCTCGTGTCGCAGAAAGCTAAGTAGGATACTGCAAGATGCAAAGAGCATGTCAACAGACCTTTCACCAGTGCTTTCGATCTCTATACGGTGTTTGTTTGCAAAACCATGTCCACCGACAACATGTAATTATACACCAAACCACTGGGTTTTTATCTACGGTTACTAAGCAGTTGTTTGTTCCTCCGATATATCGATGACAAGGCTCACGCTCAGGCGGCCAGGTGTGATGTGGTGACGCTGTGCGCATGACAGCGACGTTTTCGGAGATTAGCCGATTAGTCATGATTAAATTCGTTCTTGCGCACTTGCGCGACCTATGTGTACATTCTTCGACATGAAGGGCAATGTGGTTGGGCCAGGTTGCACACATGGATTTGATTCCACGGTCAAGATAGTTTGTGTATCGGTTTCAAGCATGTATGTGGCAATGAAAAGAAGATTGGTCGAACACCTAATTATCTCTTACCTGCTGAATACTTGGATCCAGGGTTTCTTGTGCAACATCCGCAGGGCTTAGTCGCTTCACCTCACTAAATGTCGACACTAGGAGCTGTCCAGCCTGACATGTTGTATGCAATGATGGGATAGCTGCTGATGATTTTCTAGCATACCTCTTCAGAAGCAGTTTGGGAATGTGAGTGGGGTGTATGCCACGAGTTTTTTAGTTTCTACCTTCGGATGTAGGACCTAGTGGGAGTGGTTCCTGCATTGTGCACCATGCCTTGGAGATGTGGAAAAAACACCAAGAACTTAAATCTTATTCCAGTGCCATCGAAAACAGATCACGACTGTTGGTGCAAGCTCTTTGGCTTTGCGAGCACGTCATGTGGGTGGAACAACATGGTAGCAGGCTCAGCCTTTGCTGAAGCTAATCTCCCAAGCCTTGGTCGTTTGCCCAACAAAACCAAGGGACGTCGCACGGATAGCAGGGCAGGGCTGCGATGTTGAAGACATCCGTGCTGTCCGACAACGAAAGAGGTGCTGGTCTGGAGCTGGACCTCGATTCACTATTCACGTGTGGAAAGGAGTGGATCCACTCTCATTCACTTCGTTCAAACATCTCGTCCAAGCAACAGACGCATTCTCATTGGGATGTTAGAGGACGTGCCCCAATGCCCCTCCCCTCATCGCTTCTTAGGTGCTCTTGTCCAACGCGTTTGGCAGAAATATATCAGCCTGAGATCGACTTGGAGAATCCTCTCTTCGCTGGAAGAAAGACATCCCGCCAGTATGGCTATTGATCCCAAATTGTTCCGCATGCTAAACCTTCATGGCTTTGGGTTCGTTTGTCCTTCGCTAGCATGTTTGGAAACAACAAAGCGTCTTTGGAAAACCTTGTGAATTGCAACGTGGGCTCCATTTGTGTCCATGGTCATGAAACAATACCCATCCAAAGAGTGTGTTTTTGTTTAAGCCGCAAAGCAACAGATGGGCCATTCCTGGTTGGTGCGACACAAGCGCAAAACCAGATGCAATCTGCACGCGCAGGGGCATCCTCTCAGGTTATCAGCAAGGACTTGGGGACAAAGGCTGAATGGGCTTGAAGACAGGGCTTGGAGGACTTCAAGACTTTGAGGCGGAACTTCAAGGCAGACGCACTTTCGAAGCCTCGCATCACCCGCCTGCACCAGCCCCAAAGCCCCAACCCCAGACCGCTGCAAGACGAGGCAGAACTTCCTTAAACTGTTCATCAAAGGGAACGTGAACAAAAACCACCACCTGTTTGGTCTTCGGCCATTTCATCGATCAATGGATCTGATTTTGAAAGGGTTGAACATGGATGGCCCCCGTCGCCCGATGGACCAGCCCTGACCGGTCCTCCGTCGGTTGTTTTGCGGTCCGCCGGGAGATGGTTGCAGGATTGGACCGCATGGCGGGCATGTGTTTGCTGGCGATCAGCTCGGGTGAACCTCAACTGTTGGGCCTACAGGACTTGCATTTAGCCCGGAGGCTGAGTGAGTAGACCTGGAAAGGCTGGGAGAGAGGTGAAGATGAGGGTTTTACTGACAGAGGGTTTACTATGGTTCCAGAGCTTTGATCTGACCAACTGTTGTTTGTCAGGTTTGTGATGGTTTGTGTTGCTACCAAATAAGTCTCGAAGTCTTGGTTCTTTGAAAAAATCGGATGGTCATCGCATGGCCACGCAGTGAAGCGAGGGGAACGCTCCTGGCCATCACGAGGCTAGGATCGAGGAAGATGCCTTCTGGCTGCTGGCGTGCCTCTTGGAGGCGAGCGCCGAGGTATACGCGGAAGCCTGAACACGCGAGGTGCGACAACGAAGCCCGTGCCGCGGTGCTTACGCGGAGGTACACAAATGATGCCGGAAAGTCTTTTGGGTACCCCAGAGTTACGAACACAATGTAAACGTAAACACAACAAATTAGAGGAGGAGAGCATAGGAGAGCCCTTAGTGACGTGGTCGGGATTGTTTCCTCTTTACGATTCCATCTTGTTCTTGAATGACTGCAGTGTGTTGCTTTCACCCTCCGCCGGCCTGCGCGGGAAATGCATCAGGACGTGCTGGACCCGGACTTCTTCGGGGCTGACGCGCGGCCGCCCAGATATGAAGCGTTGATTTACAGCAACGCCTGGTGCCGGGCTCAAGACCTGGAGGGACCAGGGCCAGCATGTAGAAAAAGACCCAGGTATATACCAACCAAGGTCTCGTGATTATGACCAACATCCCTCGCGAACGTGTGGGAGCAGCATGGAGGAAGAAACGCCGAGATGACGGGGGCACGATCGCAGATTGGGTGTTTAAGAACTGATGACAATGAGGTACGTCATGTTTTTGTTCGAAACGGATGATGTGGACAACCATTTGGGAAGCTAGACATTTGTCAAAATTGGCCGCTAGAATCCAGCTTGATTGACTGTGCAAACTGCAGGATCTTCCGGATAAATCGAGTCAAATCCAGCAATTTGATCAAAGGAAGGAGCTGCGAGAACCTCTTGCTTTCAGAGACCTTTGGTCCTTTGGTGGCTTTGTCAATCTTTGTCACAAGATTGCTGTTTTTTGTTTTTTTTAGAGATGGAGACTAGTTCCAGCAGCATGGAATCGAGTTCCAAAATCACAGTCCGATAGATCCCCACCTTGATCCCAGTGCGAGCAATTCTGGTTGAACGATTGTGAAGGCTGGCTGTACACTTGCCCTCACGTAGGAGGGACACAAGAAGGAAGGTGTGAAATGTATAGTGGTGGGTTCTACCTTTCATCCTCCTCCTCCTCCTCCGCCTCCTCCTCATCTCCTCCTGAAACCATGAGTCTTCTGGTGAACTTGATATCTAGCAGAAGGAAGCTCTCAAGATCTCAGTCTTTCAAGACAATCGAGGTGGCTTCCTCCGGTGTGACTTGAAGGTTTTGAGAAGAGAAGACGAAGCACCGCCGGGTCTTGCTGCGCTTCCGGATCGAGCAACATCACGATTTGCCTGCTCAGGTGCGGGGCAATCTGAAGATGGTGAACATTGGAGGGCTTGGCTTGAGGTCAGAGGGAGGAAGGGCAGTTTGATGGTCCCTGCTGTCAATGAGTAGGTGTCACACATCGATGTCTGATGTGTTTGGACTCAGAACACATCTGAGAGCAGTCACAGCTGAGAAGGTCTTTTTCTTGAGAGCAGTGGCGGGATGATCCAGACGCTCAACCGAGTTAAGAGCTGGTTTCGACCAGTCGGGCATACGGTGCTGCCAAGAATTCGGCAAGAATTGGATTTTGGTGGTGGTAGTGATCTTATATAGGTACCAAGGAAGGGCAGATCTTTATTGAGTTTACTGATATGACAGTGGGTCAACACCCAGACGTCTAACACCCAGATGTCTGAGAGATGGAAGAGGGCCCATTCCGGCTCAAGCTCTTGTCCAGGTCCATTATCCTTGACAAGGCCAAGGCGCCCTCCGCGCGATTGGCGGGCGCTGGGTTTTGCTGGACGCCATCATTTGACATCACGGCTCATGTTTTTTACGACATCGGCATTGTATGTTATAGTATTGGTCCAACTTTCATATGTCAGTCTCAAGTTCGTTTGCCAACATGGTCGGTTCCTCCAGAAGGTCCGGAAGGCCACCGAAAGAACATCAGAAATCGGTGGAACCTTGGACATCGAAAAGTGGAGACGATTGGCGCACTTGGCGCTCAAGTCAGTGGACCAGGGTTTTTGATGGTGTTTGTCTCCCACAAAGAATGTATAGAAGTTCTATTATAGAAGGCTTAATGGTGGTCCTCAGAACAACCCCCAAAAGACAGTCCATTTGGAATCAGGCTTTGGACGTCCATATCTGAGCTGTGCACGTACTGCGAGCTGTGCAGGTGTACTGTCCATCGATTTATGCTACCTTGGGACCAGAGGCGAACGGGTCCTGAAACGCGATGGGCGCTGGTGGAGCACAGGGAGCTGGGACGTGCGCAGTTGGTAGTTCAACCCGTATACAATATAGATGGCATTGTGAGCATATTGTGTGTGTATTATGTGCAGGTCATAGGGGGATCTGATCTCTGGTGGCTTTCCGGAGTCCGCTCGATTGGAGGGTTGACGAATTCTTCTTCCGAGAGCGGCAAAGCATGCCTTGTTTCTTGCAATGTCAACCATAGGCCTTAGAATATCATGTATATGTATTTTCATGGATGTCATGCTGCTGGTTGGGACTGCTAACGACATCCAAACACTATGGATGATCAAGTGAAGCATCTTCATGCTCTCGACCCATCCTCGCCCAGCATGTCCGGCATGAACAGCTCGCTCGACCAGTCACCTTTTTTGCTCCACAGGTCTTCGAAAGCTGCTTGGGCTTGTTGCTGGATGGATGGGTCGCACACTCAGTCTTTGACAGTCGACCCATCGCGGTTTCAGGAATCACTCTGGTTAATGAGAAAGGAATCAGGAAAGGCTCTCAGTTCAGTATTGATTGGAGGTGGGAGGTGGCTAGGGTCCAAAAATCGCTTCTGAGGCGATACCTGAAGTATCCTGAAGCCCTAGGAAATAAGCATGAAAAGACTAGACTATGCAAACTTCCTTGTGACACCTCGACAGTTACCTTGCAGGGAGGGGTCACTACATCCCGACCTCAAGCTCCCTTCGTTGGGCAGTTGAGTCGAGGAGGAGGGAACCTCCAGGGCGTCAATTCGTTTGGACGTCCTGTCTATATCTCACATGACCACGTATAACCACCCCGCTATTAGGTTGGAGGCCATCCCTATTGCGGTTGGAGGCCATCGCTAATAGGTTGGAGGCCATCGCTATTAGGTTGGAGGCCATCGCTAATTAGTAATTTGGAGGCCATCCCTAGTTTCAACTGCTTGGTGCAACCCGCCGAAAAACACATAACAACCACATGGTTTCTGGCCCAACTCTCAGCTCTCGTCTCCATTGGATGCCAACTGAGGTGCTGTCGTGCTTTATCGGTTGTGCACCGCATCGCCTACTTGAGCACTTCTGGGACCGTTCCGGGTGATTGCAGCGCTCGCTCCCGGATGATTTGGGATGTGAAGTTTGATGTTTAAGGATGATTTGGATGATTGAAGTTTTTCTACTTCTTCTCTACTCCAGGTGTACTTTCACAGTTTTCGGGGCGACTCAAAAGTCGTGAAGATCACCAACATGAAAATAGCTTTCCATGCTGACCCCAAAAGCATGCTCCAGCTGAATGCTGACCCCAAAAGTGCTCCACAGTCCATGCGATCAGCATCGCAGCCACTGGGTTCGATGACCCTTTTCCAAGCTATACAGGCTAACATAGATCTCGACTGATCATTGGCAATCTATGCAGAAAAGAGAAACACCCACTGCATCTGCTAGAGCACCCTTTATATCCCAGAAAAGCCCTGCAGTAGACACTGCCACCCCACATCCACAGCTCATATGGTTCAATCCCATAGAAAAGTGCTGATGCTTCTTCGGGCCATCCCCCTCCACCACCAAGCTGGTTATTTTCCACCCCATCTACTTCTACGTGGTGCAGGCCTCCTTAGGCCCACAGACACACCTCGCCTCCTTGACGACGGGGGGGATGCTTCTCGCCACGCCGCGCGCTCGCCCGGGCGCCGCACGCCTCGCACCGCGGCACGATGCGCGGCGAGTCCTGCAATGGGGAGCACAGCGGGCCCCTTCGCTGAGGCTCGGGTGATGCGTTGGTGAGTCATCAAAAATGCGCTGCTGAACGCTTGTCAATGGAATCATACATCCATTTACAAGTGTTATATATATATATTATAGAATATTATTTCATATATATATATATGTATTCCTTAGATTATGTAGTATATTTAAAACAAATCATGTGATGAAGATTTGTTAAGGCCATCAGATATTTGTGCATGTATAGCTCCCGTAGCTCCGCTTTGCATTCGTCCTGCTGATCGAAGCTATCAACTTCAACCTCCAATGTCTTTTTTCTCACCAATCATGGTAGTTGCGTCGCAACCAGGGGGGCCCTGGCAATTATAAAGCCGCATCGACCACCGTTCCCCAAGTTCGGCTTCGCGTTGGATCGGATGCATCGGCGCATGATATACATGATTTCAATATGCCCTGCTGAACTGTGCGTATACTGTATACTCTTGGTATCTCTCGGTGTTTTGTTGCATCTGAGTTATGCATAAAGGCCTTCAATTGATTTCAGTTTTTTTTTTTTTAAGGTTCCATTTGTGCTCACTGTTTCATTAATGATAATAAAGAAACAGGATCAAAAAGGATTTTAGACATAATAGTAGTAATATGTAATAACAAATCTCATCACACTTATTGAAAGCCCTGCAATTTTTACTGTAGTTCATATTTTCTTAGATTTTCTTCAATGGAATTCATCACTTTCCAACACAAGGAAAGATAGCATCATCCAAAAACAGATGTATGATAATAGCAAAAGTGCTATGACTGAAGTGCATTCCACATATCGAGCGATCACCCACATGGCCACCATCCATTGATGAATCCATTGGGCCTTACCTGGTGCCGGGTCAGGCCAGAGGCGAGACCTGCTGGTCAGCTTGGATGCCAGGTGTGCTGTGCTGTGGCTTTTGTTTGAAGAGGGTTGCCAACGGCCTTTAGAGGCTTTTGTTGCATCCTGATTGGAGGTTTATGGTGTGGCACCAGGAGCCATCATTCCGCGCTGATTTTTGTTGGGCAGATAGCTGCTTCTGAGCGAAACAAGCCAGACCACATGCTTTCATGGATAGCGGTGAGATGGTCTTTGTTGGGCTGGGCATGATCCGGATCAGATCCAGCACTGCATGAGCTGAGGTTCTTACAATCCCCAGGCCTACCCACTATGACAAGTTGTGTTGTCATGGGATCCCCTTTCAGCCTGTGGATGCACCAAATGACTTGCACCAAATCTATCCAGATCTAAGATTCCACCTGTGAAATCTTAGCCAGTTATGCAACATTATACAACCATCCTAATGCCATCGAAGGGGGGAGCTGCTTGAACAACTCCCCTTGAGGTTCCTCTTGTTTTAGTGCTTGTAAACATGGCCGCGACACGTGTCGACCTGGTCGACACGTGTCGAGTCACATGAGAGTCGCCAGTCACGTGGCAGGTGTGCTTCTTCCTGGCCTGGCGAAGCCAGGCACCAGCGCTTTTGAAAAAAGGTGTGTACACTTTGATGGTCCTTGTAACTGGGACCCAGAGGAGAATTCACACCGGAGTTTCGAGCTTGAGTTGCGACTAGAGTTATGGCTGAAGTGAAACTCTTTCAGAGTCTTAATGGTTCATCACTGAATGACCTGGTTGGTATGTGATGGCACTTGTGGTGAACATCACATGAACAGTTGAATCCTTTTGGAGAAGGGACTTCACTTCGATGGAGAAGGGGATGTAAGAGGATTTGATTGGTTCGTTCGGTCCGAATGTCTCCGTACTCCTTATAATATACTTGTACTTGTAACATGAACAAGTACTCATCAACACTCCAACTCATGCTTGTGGCATATTCCTACAGCGGTGTCTGTTATGTTTCTTCTTGTTCCATAGATTCCATAGGCCCAACGACGCCAACGACGCCTTTTCCGCACCCTCCGAGCGTGTCTTCCAGCGCTACAGAGGCGCTGTCACGGTTTCTGCGGTGAAGTTGCTGCGGTCGTTTTGTTAAAAAGAGATGCACCGCAGCAAACCAACTGATGCACTAGAATTTAGTGTGCAGATTCAGGGTAGACTTTGCCGGAAGAGTCTTGAAGTGTATGACGCTGTTGGCACATTGAATGGTTTCATTTTTATATGCGTGTTTGCGGTATCAAATGCTATCAATATTATGTAATATTATACATGTGTTATACATATAGTATATAGTATATATCTATACATATTAATACAATAATACCATATAAGACCCGACAGCTGTTGTTCAAGAGTTTTCATGGCACAAATTGGTCGATTGTGCCGCCTACATACGGCCAACTTGCAGACTCTGGTCGACCACTTAAGTCACTTTCCTGTCCTTTCGGAGATGAGACATACTAGATCCATCTAAGATTCCATGCCTGACTGGACAAGTCATGACACAATCTAACAAACTAGTGGCTTCCCTAGGGTGACTTCCCGAGCTGTTGTGTCCAGTGGGTCGATCAAGCCAAACTCGTTTTGTTTGAAAGCCTCATCTATATAAGTATGCGATTTGTTTGACACTTCAGTATGGAGATAGACAGAAGTAGTTTGCCTCCAGTTATCCCATGTAGTACCTTACCCTGCTGCCACTCCCAGCAGGGTGCTTCCGGACGATGACGTCATGATCTTGGAAGCTGACCAAGAAGTGTACTGCATCTGAGCTGAAATTCAGCCCCCAAACCTGGATGATAAGCGGAGACGCATGGAACCTGGCAACTCATGGCTGTCATTGCTGCAAGATGCCAATGTTTGCACTTGAAGTACAGTGTATTGTGACAGTTGGCAGGAGAAGTTGTACCGTATTGAGAGCGCCAGGGTTATGAGGTGTTGCTGCATACCTCAAGGGCAAAACGGCCATTTTGATCCTGTGTTGTTTTTGGTCACTCGTGATACTCACCAAAGATGTTGTTGCCGATCGATTGGGAAACAATCTCCCCAAAGCCATGCACTGGGCGTTTGGTCAAGGGGCATCTGGTCCATTTCAACCTTTCACTCAAGAAAGTATCCTTTTGTAAACCATCAATTAATAACAGGGTATGGTAGACTACGTCCAAGTGAAGCCCCAACCAATCAAATGTTTTTGTCTTTGTATAGAGATGTATAGAGTATAGACCTCCAGGGTTTTGCACGTTGTACTTGGACCACTGACACAGTCTATTTGGCAATTGAGCTTCCGAAAGCAACGTTCTTATAGAACTATAGAACCTTCACACCTTCCATGAATACGTCAGCGACTCAGGGTAACGAGCTTGTGTCCTTCAGGATATACTGTTTCTGACCCCAACGGTCCCAGATCTTACGGAATCGGTCTTCAGCGTGCCATTGATATCAAACTCAGCAAGGTGAAATGCAGTGGTGACCGTTTATTTTTTCTTGGCAACGCAAACACAACATCCAGGTATACCTCATTGTTCTTAAGTGTTCTTCAGTGCTTTGACTTGGTCCTTCCATGTCCGTGTCTGCGGTCTCCAGGACTGTGTCCATATTGTCTCCATGTTCCGCCCGAGTCAGTGGTGACACTCCAAAAAAAGGACAGAAGGAAAGAAAGGTCTAGAGAAAGAAAGGTCTAAAACTTATACAAAACACATATATTTTTATATATTATAAGCAAAATCTCAACTCTGGTGATGGCAGGTGATCGCCAGCGAGAGGGACGCTTGGAGTCCTTGAAGCCAGGCCGGAAACCGGCCACCGCTTTTTGGCCCAAAGGTCACGGAAAGAGAAGGAAAGCACCGGGATTTGTCGCCTTGTTCCGCAACGGTTGGTATTTTTTTGATGTTTTGATCGATCGACGTCACATGTTCGTCGTTGTTGTTTTTTTGGTTAATCATACGAAAATTCGATCTTTGGTGATTCGGATGAGACACGTCGTGCCATACCTTTTTCGGGAGTAGATGCCGACGGACGATCCGATGGATCTTCCGCACTTGAGTAGTAGGTATAGTACAGGGGGGATCACACTCATCAACCGAGCATGAGTTCAAACAAACTGGCCCTTATCAAGTATCTATCCTTGATGAATAATGACTAACTGATTTTGATAAATGACTGATAATGATTGACTTGTAATGACTGATCTTGATTAATGATTACAATCAGTCAACGATCAGTTACTAAGTCATTGACCAAGTGGCTCTTCATCTAAGTTAAACAGTCAATGAACGGAGCTGCCTTGCTTGCATGTCAAAGGCATGTGAGATCCCCAGGGGTTCCCTCCAGTCATCCCAAGAACCCCATAGATAAACAATGGGTAGATGCGATGTGCTCGCTCATTTAATTTGATCACCCTCACGCTCCAAACAGCCCTTGGTCCCTCAAAGCCATAGGGATTTGAG